TCATTCGTGTAAACAAATTTTTTTCTCTTCTATCAGGATAATAGCTTAAAGAAAATTTGGGCAACTAAATTGCCCTTTGGCGCTCATTACCCGATTGAAATATTACAATTGCAATATAATTTTCGTTGTACTTTTCAAATACTCTACAATACCTCGGAGTCGGCCAATGAAACGATGGTTCCACAATAAATGTACCTATAACATAAAAAAGATAAATCGATAATTAAAGAACGTTGTGTTTTTTTTTTTTTTTAAAAAAAAATATATTGTACCTACTTTAGTAACCCTTCGAACGCCTTAGGGGTGATGTTAGGAATCATAATCTCGCATTGACCTACGCTTTTTGATAAGGCATTCGTACAGGATTAAATAATGTGCCATGAATGTTTGATCGCCGATCTTAACGGTTACGTCGCAAAATCTACTTTGTTCGTAAAGGGTAGCATAATCTTGTCGCATTCTTTCATGAAATTGAATCAGCCTATAAATTTTGTTTGTAATACATAAAATTTAGAAACATTCCATTGCCTTTAAATAAAGTTCTTTTGATGATAACATTAAAAATACAAACAATTTGTTATTTCTTCTCTCTTTAAAAATATTATGACCATGCTCGACATTATCCTACAGCGATATATTAATTTAACTTTATCAGTGAATATTAAAAACGGATTCGCATGGTATGACTAACCTTGGTTGATTTTAAATCTTGGCTATCGAGAAATTTTTTGATTGCCGGTTCGCTTATGTCTAACTCTTCTAACTCTTGGGAAAGCTGTCGAGCCTTATTTTGTGATGATTTTAATAAATTCTTATCTTCCGCTCTACTTTCTAAACGTTGCTTGAACATTTCATAGATTAAATTTACATCACTGCTCGTAAATTCGGTTTTGCTTGATACATATCGAAGTGCTCCAAGTAAATTCCATCGGGTTCAGTCAACTGCCTCCAAATATTCCGTAAAATAAGCAAATTCCATGACTAATAAAAAAATTAATTATAAAATTAAACACACGTTAATAAACTAAGCAACATAAAGAAGTGTATCAGATGCTAACTATTCGCAAGGGGCAATTCAACCAAGTAGTTAGTTAGCGCAAAGATCACTGAATTAGCTATTCACAATTTAAAACATCAAGTATTAATTAGCTTAGGAAAACCAAGTCTAGCTATTGGCAATGCGATCCGCTAAGTAGTTAGTTAGCTTAGTCTAATTATTCGCAAGGTGAAAAATCACCAAGTAGTTCATTAGTAGGTACCAAGACCAACTATTCGCAAAGCGAACCGCAAATTAGTTAACTATCTCAGAACTCATAATCTAACTATTCGCAAGGTGTAAAAATCATAAGTAGTCAGCTCATAAATCAATTTCTAACTATTCGCAAGGCATGTAGAACTTGACCCAAGTAGTTAGTTAGTATTTGTTACTTGTTATATA